AAGGAAAGGAAAGGAAAGGAAAGGAAAGGAAAGGAAAGGAAATCCATTTACACATTGTAACTATTTATCTTGTGCCACTGCATTTTCTATAGGGGGTAGATGCACTTGTGTGACCAAATGATAATCCCTTTACCAGAAAGTTAGTGCTTGATTACACACGCTTAATATTTCTTTCCCACAGACCTCGTGGCTTATCAGAACAGTAGCCTGGCAGGAATTGCATGTTATTACATGTGGAAAATATCCCATGTCTGCCAACTTTTTTCCCGAGTCTGGGAGGATTTTTGTGAGGTACCCTAAAAACTGAATTTCAGCCTTGTGTATGCATCCTCATTGCTCTTTTGATGCATACAACTTTCCTTTCCTGTCCCATTTAGGAGAACCAATAAATCAAGAGGACTCCAGTGAGACAGTTGTTTGAGTTTTCCATCAGCGAATGATTCGTGAACTGCCTCCAGAAAGGGGTAAAATTCTAGCTCAGAGACTGCCTAAATCAAGCACCTCTCATTTCCTTTATCCAAACCAACTCTGCGCTGAGATACTGATTAAAAATAAATAAATAAATAAAATAAAATCCCCAAAGGATCCTTTTTGTGAAGACTTTGTAGCTTGTGAGATCTTGCACATAGCTTGGATCATCTAAGATGACCATGGTTTGAAGATGACACAGTCAAAATTAATGAAAATTATTGTGTTTGGAGAGTCAGTCTTCCAAGATCAGATCGGCACAGGCTGATTGGTTTCACCTAACAGAGCATCTCAGACAGGAATGACAACCCCTAGAAATACCGTATAAAGATGGGGAGAAGCAAAAGTAATATTTTATTACATGTCTTCCAACCTTTACAGCAGTGAGGGTCTGGAATAACTTCTGCCAGCAGAGCCACAAACATGAATATATTTCAGATTAATTTTTTCCTATGAAAGAAGTGATAATAAGATATAAGGATAGGAGCTGAGTCTTTTTAGCTTATGAAACCCTTTGCAAGTGCTACTTGAGGTTAGCAGTAAAAGCCCCCAAAAGCACCTAGACTGGCTTCCTATGCATGAGGAACCCGAAATAGCCTGCGAGATCTTTACACAGAGCTGGCAAGGCAAAAGGGAACTTGCTGAAAACCCTGTTGTGATCTGAAGACATCAGCAGGTAAAAAAATCTCCTGGTCATGTGCCCCAAAAGCAAAGATAAACCAGACACCTCTCTCCAGCTGGATATGGCAGCTGGGTACAGCAATTTATTTAAAATCTCTTGTTTTCTCTACATAAAGACAAATCTCTTACTATTAACTCTCCCTCTTCACCAGGACGGCTTTCCTCCTCTGCTGTAAGTGCGTCAGAGTCTGTCACCATTCCCTGGGTGTTTGTTTCCCTTTCAGATTTGGATGGCATCCCAAACACAGCGACAGCTGCCTTTACACTGAAAACACCCCTTCCCCTGTGTCGTCTTTCCCCAGGGCCAGGAGATGGGAAGCAGCCAGAAAAGACAAAAACCAAATTCTGGCTTGTTTCTGTCCCAGCTTTATGAGGACACCAGCCGAGGTACAGAGTGGCAGGGTTCAAATAAAGGTGCAAAACTTCTCCCCGACATTCAAGGTTGCTATTTACTCAGCTCCTTGCAAGCCCAAATGTACTGCAGAAACAAATGCACCAAGCAGAGTACCTTGATGTGACTCCCCCTCCTTTTCCAAGCCATGTTTTTTTTTCCCTCTATTTCCAGATTTTTGTGTAAAACCAATTTATTTTGCAAGGAGGTGAAGGGGTGTTCACTCCAGGGCAAGGCTTTCACACTGGGGAGGAATTCAACATGAAGAACACAGCCAACGTTTTAATTTAGAGACCTGCTGGACAAAGGCAGCCTGGAGGGTTCTTGTTAGGATAGCTGGGTTTGATTTTGGAACTGTGGCCCATGGATTTCATATACCAGGGCTTTTAATTCCCTTTAATATCATGGATCTGCAAGGATTTCCACAATATGCCCAGGAGGAAGTAGCTTAAAGTTAAGTCTTCACTGGAGATATGTTACAGGACAATGTCTGGAATAACCCATGTATGACATGGGTCACATCCCATATCATTCCTGTTTGTGTAATAGGGGCAGACGGGGAAGGGGATTGGGACCAGATTCTCACAGGTCCAGACCAACCTTGGATAAGACACAGAATGATTAAAAACCTTGTATTTTTTAAAATCTTATGGCAAACTTGAGGCTAGAACCCCAGGGAACAGGGATGAAGGCCTGCAGGGAAGGTCTCTCTGCCTTTGCAATATTCTGAGCCTCCCTCTTGAGTTCTTGTGCTTCAGGTGACCCGAAATGACTTTGCTGAATTGAGATACCAACCACGATGCTTTCTCCCCTGCTTCATGAATATCTCTGCCTCAGTCACTCAGAGGTTTTCTTTCACCTCATTTTTAGGGGTTTGCCCTGTTCTCAGACCCAGGGTGGTACTGAATAAAGAGGCTTAGGATTTATTTGTTTTTTCCCCTGCAGTCAGAGATGTGGGAGCTGTGTAGGAGAGACATGAAGACATCTGAGAGAGGACGTGCCAGTGTGTCAGAGGCAGCCATTCCTAGTCAGCCACGGCCTAATGTGGAAAAACAGATCTATTTTAAGAAGAAAAAAACTTCACATGATAGATTTTAGATGAGAAATAATTTGGGAGTGATATTGAAAATGATATTGCTCCTGCTGCTCTTCAGTCCTGCCAAGCACGTTCTATAATTAATAGCTACTTCAGATGAAGTGACTTTCTTCTGAATGTGCAGTATTAAACATTTAAATCCCTATCTGTAAATATAAGACTATGGCAGATATCTCCACAAGCCTTGCAGCTACGTGCTAATGTATATTTATGTTCTAGATAGGTATTTTTAGCAAGAACTACAAGTTCTTTCTCTATTTGATTACATCAGAGCTCTATTTTACATTAAGCGTCTGGACTGTGCAAATATCCTCTTCCTTTTTTTTTCTTTTTTCTTCTTCTCTTGGAGTTTCGCAATAATTTCTGCCCTCATCTCCTCTCTTTTGCTTTCATGCCCAACTGTATTAATGCACCTTCCATGAGGGCTTTATGGGTTTATTTACCATTCCCTCCCTGTGCAGACAAAATATCTAAAATTAAAAGAAATCAAGCAGCCAAACATCCCCTGGTGTTTCCCACCTTGCAGCTTGAGCCAGCCTGCAATCAGGGCACACCAGGATAACTACCACTGCTCACATCTATGTGTGATGTGAGCAATGTCTTGCTGTGACTCGTGGAAAGTAACTGCAAATAATCCCTGCTGGAAACCCCATTCCTCGAAGTATTGAACACTCTGGTTGTGTAGCTTTGCTCTCCCACTGAACCATTGATGCATTTGTGGGAGTCAAAGCAACAGGATTGAACCCAGGTCCAAATTTCAGCTGGCAGAAGACACCAGAATGGTTCTCTCCAGTAGTTTTTCCAGCAATGCAAGGAGGTAACATCTTTTTCCAGCCAATATCACACAGTCTGGGTCTGAACCATTCTCCTCCCCTCGTGATTCTGGGTCTAACACCTAAAGGATGCTATGGACCTGCTTTCCTGATCCAGCCCAAGCCAGGTCTGGGTGCACATTGTCTTTACATAGTCTTTACATGAACAATCTTTTGAGATGCTCACTCCACCTTTAAGAGTCATGGAGCCCACAATGAAAAGCCACCATGGCAGACACACAACCCTGAGTATACAGGTGTCTACCTGGAGGCAGGACTCATCTGGGTATACCAGTATGGATACCCTCACCAACTGGGTATACCAGTATGAATACCCTCACCAACTGGATATGCAAACACCTCCCTGAAATTTTAGTCTCTGCTTTGCTTTGATCTTTAATTTCCAGGCAGACGAAAGCACTGCCTCCAGATTTGCAAGTGAAAGTGAGCGATGAGGATCATACACCTGTAGGGCTGACCCACTTTTACAGAAAGGCTGGGAGGTGGTGAAAAATACAACTGCTTGTTTGGATAAAATATTAGGCATCAAGAAATGCCCTCAAGCCTAGAAATAGTGTCCCTGGTCCTGCACAGAGTGATTGCTGGGATGAACAAGCCCCAGGATGGGCAGGTTAAATCCTCCACAACAGCTACAGCAGTGCTGGAGGCCACCAGCTGCACAGCCTCATCTTGCAGGGTCTAGAGGCTGCACATCTTTTTACAGCTCATTGGAGACACTTCTCTTTCTGTTCTATTTTATTCAGCCTATATTTAAACTTCTCCCTTTGTATGTCCACTTGACCCGGTGATGCAAAATTCTGCAAATGCCTTTGAATCTGCTGGCAGTGCCCTGCATTTACTGGGGCAGCAGTGCTTGCTGGGCTTAACTCCTAGGGACCAAAGAGCCAGAATAAATACAAGCGATAGCAGAAGCAGCAATTCAGTGCAAATCAAACTTTGCCAGGACTCCCAGGGTTTGTCCCGTAGCTTAGGCCTAACCCAGCATGAACAGATTAATATTACTGCAAATTTTTGCACCCCTGACACGTTGTGCTAAGGGCTTTTCATCTTGCCTGGTGCAGGAATATATTAAAAGTGCTTTGAGCCTTTTGCTCTGTTTTCTACACTAGATGCTCACTGCTTTTGCAGCGTAGCCAGACTAACAGGGAAGTCCTGGATAACAGGAGAGTGTCAGCTCAGTGAGATGCAGGATGCTCACAGCCAGCACCAGGTGACACAAGGAAGGCAGCAGTCCCCATCTGCAGCATCTCTGCTCAAGGCTGCCTTCTCCCTTGCAGTGCTGAGCTCAGCTGCTTTCCCTTTTCCTGCTGCAAGAGAAGCTGCAGTGGAAAAGAAATCCCATGCCCCAGGTAAGCATCCTGTAGCTACTGCATGACCCTTCACCCTTCTGCCACACTCCTTCCCATTTTCTCCCACCAGCTTTGCACTCTTGTCCCTTTCTGTAGCTTTTTCCCTCACTGACACTTCCCTCCTCAGCCAGAAAACCATCCAAAGAAGTGCTGAACCACACAGGAAAGACTGCAGGGTGAAAATGGGAAGATCCAACTTTATTCACTAGATTCTCATCCAGAACCCCCCTTTCTTTTTTTCTTGATTGTCTTGGCTGATGTCTTGTACAGAGACAGAGTGAAACTGGAGTTTGGCTTAGAGGAGGTCACAGGGGCTTCATGAATGCATGAGGATGGTGCTTGGGATGTGCCCTTGCTCCCCTCTGCCCCTGTTCTTACAGGTTCCCTTTTGCTCCCCTGGATGAGCCAAGAAATAATAATAAAGATAAATGCAAGTACCCCTGCTCTCCCCTCCCAAAAGAGGCCACGAAGCTGGCCACATCTAGCTCATTTGGATCAGCTTCCACTCCTGTTTTTACAGCAGACAGGGCATCAAGCTCAAATCCTACAGCTACTCCAAGGGAGAATGGAGCAAGTCCCCAGCAAGGCCTGGTAGCACCATTAACCAGCTTCGAGTGGAAAGGCTGAATTTTCCCAGAGCTGAGGGTCTGGGATAATCATTTATTTTCCTTTCCTGTGGCCCCTGCTGTGAAGGGATGGGGGAGGGCAGGCTAACAGAAGAAGTTGCTTGAAACAGCCTGTGAAACATCTGGAAAGCTGGGGGCTCTGACTGCAACCTGAGCTCAGGCAAAGTGCTGCTGGGGGTTTGGGCTGGCCAAACTTCTGGATTTGCTTTTACGAGTCTAAACTGCCTTGGCTTGTTCATCCTGGGCATCTTACGAGCTTTCCAGAAATGCTTTCCATCCCAATGCATGATGGCTGAGCCCTTCTGAACTCATTCCATGGCTTATTCTAGAGAGAATTAAGTGCCAGCTCTCCGCATCTGCAAACCACACTCTGCTGAGCAGGTACTGGAAGGGGTCCAACATCCAACTGCCTCTGAAGATAGCACCCAATGTGGAAAGAAAAGAAGCCAAGATGCTGATGGAGGGTTCCAGCTTTTGGGGAGGTTGTGCATTGAAATAAGATAGAGTCACACGGGTGCATGTTTTGTGGGAGCTGAGGAAGACCTGGGAAAACAGCACCATTATGTCCAGCATGCCTGCAGCCCCTGCTGTGGATGAAGATCATCCCCAAGCACCACCCTTGGTGGTTCTGCCCAGTCCCTCCTGCTGTACAGAGCCACCGTTCTTCATGGTGAGGAAAGCTGCAAGGCGAGATGTGAGTCCTGGGGACCAGAAGCAACCAAAGGTGAAGAACATCTTCTCAACATCTGGAAAATGGAAATTTGAGGGGTTTAGGTCCAGGCGCCCAAATTTTTGCCTCGAATCCACAACACTGAAGATGGGTGAAGACACACTTGAGCAAAGAAGGTTTTCTCCCAAGGCATCTTAAAGTTCACAAGGCATCTTGGCAGAGACAGGGGAGGAGATGCTTTGGTCGGAGCAGGGGTGCCCATGGCTTCACAGAGCACGCTGGAGGAGTGTGCCAACAACCAAGGCCATTAGACCCATTGCTGAGGAGCTGCTTCTCTCCCCTTTGTTCTTGGTGTCATCAGAGCAGAGGTCGGTGTAGCAGCACGTCGTGGGCCTGCTCGAGCCTATCCCATCGTAGTCGACACAGGTCTCATCACACTTTCTGGTCACGGTGATGTTGCCGAAAAAGGGGTAACCTGAAATGGATGCATTGGAGGACGGGGGGAAGGAGAAGAGAGAGAAAGAAATGGTGAAGAAAAGCACAGAACACTGGAATTGAGCACCACTGGCTTTGTGCAATGGAGGGGAGTGAAAAGCACGGTGTTTTTAGGTAAATAAAGTCAAATGAGGGGTTGACTGTCTTTAATCCACAGGTGCCTATAACTCAGACTGCTCTTTATCTAACAGGTCCTCTGGTTCTCCCTGCCTATCTCCCTTCTGTCCCTCCTGCTCCCTCCAAATTTCTTCTACTGCAGACAAGAGACAAAAGTCCCTTCATGTTTTGTTCAGGTGGGTTGCTCCTGTGATAGCTTTGCATAGGAGACTGACAATGCCAAGAAACACTGGTGCAACACTAACACAGTTCAGGGTTGTTTTTCTCTCTGGGGTGAGAGTTGGTGTTAGGTGAGGGTGTCTACAAATGAGAGAGTCCCTGGGTTTCTGCAGTGTGTTTGCACACATCTGCAATGTCAGGATCTGTAATGCAGAGGGGTGGGAAAGGCAAAACAGACTGAGTGAGTGGGGCGAATGCTGTGTGCTTCACGATGAAGCCCTGAGTCTGATGGCCTTCCCTGCTTCCCACCCTGGATAAGTCCACCTGGATTCTTACTGTTAAAGGATAACCCAAGGCAGGGTCTGGGAAAAGGAGAGGGAAGCAGGGGAGAAGTTCATGAGATATTTTGGCCCACAAAGCTGAAAATCATCTTGCTCGATGACCACCCAAAGAAAGCAATGAGACTTACCCATGTCTAGAGAGTGCAGCGTCGTTGTGCACACCTTGGCATTCGGGGGACACACGGTGGGTGTTCTGCAGTCATTAATGTCTGTTGGCTCCTTGCATGTGTAACACCGCAGAGATTGGGCTGCAGAGGGGGAAAAGAAGGGATTCAAGTCAGTCACAGCTATGAAGGCAGACAGCAAGGGTGCAAATTCTCTGCTCAGTGGTAGGAATTATGTGACAGTGCTTCACCCCCACAACCAAGATGCAGAGACCTTGGAAACTAAGCACAGCTGGAGACAGTAAAAAAGCTTTGTCAAGGGCAAAGACCAAACCCCAACATCAAAGGATGAGGTGGGTGTTGCAGGGAGCTCGGCATCATCACTACTTCAGGGGATCATCAGCTTAAAAAGAGCAGATCTAGAGGGAAATCTTGCTTGAGCAGCTTGAATAACACTGTTGGAGGGTCCTGGCCCATCAGCAGTTTGGTGATCAGTCTATTTAGTGTGGCTTTTTGCTGTTGTTCTGCAGACTCGAACAAAACTGTATCAGCTTCTTAAAATGAATCCAGTTTTAGATAGAGGGAATCAATCTGACCAGAATTAGGACATTTTGCTGTTTTGTGCATCCCATGTAAGACCTGCTGCAGCACAGGGCGAAATCGCTCCTTCTGTTTAGAGCAGCATTCACCTGCAGCCCCATCCACCCACAGAGACAGTCACTGAAGTTGAATTTCCAGGCCTCCTTCATGCTTATTTAGAAGGTTTTCCGCAGAACTTAGTAACTGAGAGAATAATTTAAATTTCAGAGCCGTACCGGAGATCCTAAGGGATGAATGTGTCCTAAAAACACTTTCATCAGGAGCTGTTGCTGGTTTTTAAAAGCGATGATGCTACAAAGCTCTCGCTGGCTGCTGCTGACACAGGGACACCTTTACATATGCAAGCCTTGATCTCAGCAGTTGCTCAAAAGTCTCCGTACGAGACCTGCCCATCCACAGCCAGCAGATACGGAGCGTGCATGTTGTTTTTTTTCGGAGCCGTGCTGGTTTGGCTCGGTGACAGAAACCAGCCCAGTCTGATGGTTTCTATCCTGTGCATTTTCCAGCAAGGCAGCAGCAGCTGGAGAGCCACCCAAATGTATCCACCGCCATCTATTGGTAAAATTGCGGAAATACGGTGTTTTCTCGCCGCTAATTCTGCTGCACCTGCTGTTGGAGAGAAACTGCTGGGACTGCCATAAGGATAAATATTTCCGAAGGTATTTATTTGAACACTTGACTTCAGAATGGATTTTCAGGGCATCTATTTCTCTTAGCATCGCTTGCGAAAAATTCAGCTGTGCAGCAGAGTTCTCATGCCTGCAAAAGTTTTCTCCGTCCTCTTTGCAAAGGTAGGAAGGGATTTTCGGTTTGAGAAGTCGTGATGTGCTGGTGGCCATCTCCTCTGTCAGCAGGTGTGGTGGAGCCATCCCTGTTTACCCAAATCGAGGATTTTCGGTAGATAACTTCAGAATGACCCAGAAGAGTTTGTTTATCTTATTTTTTTATTTTTTTTTTTGTTGGTTGGTTGTGCACTTATAGTGCACACTGGGAGAAATCACAATTATCAAGCTGGCAAGCATGGGGATGCTTGTGGGTGTGTAGGACCTGCTTGTGTATGGGTGGAGCAGTGCTAATTTAAATTAATTGAGGAACTGGTCTGCAACCTTTGGGCTGAGCTGATTTCCAAACCTGACCAATTCTGCGGGTGAGCAGGACAGTACCATGGGGTCTGGAGAAATTGCTTCCAGTCAAGAGCAAGTTTAGGAGAGAAAACCATCACCACCTCGCCCCTTATTATTCAACTGAGTCTGGATGGGGCACTGAGGACACTGTTTTTTTGGGGAAAAATGTAGTGGAAGAGGAAAGCCCCAAACTGTAAGGACCAGAGAAGAAGAAATGACCAGAAAAGACAGTGCTGTGTCCAGAGCTGAAGCCAATAATTACTGTCCATCACTCTCTGACAGCACCTTCCACACCTTGATTCCTTCTGGAGGGTGAGCAATGTACCTTGAGCCATGGACATATTCCTGAGCTGCAAGTGCTGCCTAGGCCAGCTGCCTCCCATAGCATTATTCTCCCAAAATACATATCTGCCTCAGTCTCAATGATAAAGCAAAGGATGATGATGCCTCTCTGCTCCCATAAAGTGCTTCAAGACCCATGGGTGGAAACCTGCTCTGTCAGCTCCTCAGCAACACCATTAAAACCAATGCGAGACTAGAGGAGGGCAAAGAAATGCATAATATGCCACCTCTGAAGTGTCTTGAAAGAAAAACAAAACAAAACAAAATAATAATAAAAAAGGGTACTGAACTTTAATAAATTGCTGTAGTATTATGGAAGTAACTGTACACCTGTCCTGGTTGAGCCCTATGGTGTGTTCAACCCAGACCAAGTAAGGAAATGAAATGTTCAGCTCGAGCTGGGTTTGTTTCAAAGACTATACGGAAGGAGAAATGAGGGTAGAGGAATAAAAAAACAATGAAGAGACCCAAGACCAGACAGACCCGAGGGAATTTATTATCTCCACCCGTCTACTAATCTCTAGAAATCAGTGCAAACCCTAGAGCTGGTGGTTTCATTAAGCTTCCCAAATCCCTAGAGTTATTTCTCATATTCTCACCCATATCTTGCTCTTTTTTTTTCAGCCTTCTAGTAGCCAGCTGTGAGGTAGTAGGGATGTCAGGAGATCAGGATGAACATACCCCATCCCATCCCTGAGGGGACAGGTTGGCAGCTTGGCTGGAGGCTGCCAGCTCAGGTCCTTGCCCACACTTGCTCTCCCTGTGCCATGTGGCTGTCATTCACTCCGTGGCCTTATGAAGCCTCGTGTCAGGCCCCTCCACCCTAGGGTGCGGTGTGAGCAGGGCTGGGTGACCCGTGACCACCCATGGGTCCAAATGGTCTGCAGTGCTCTCCAACAGCCATCACTGTCCTCCCCACCAGGAAAGTGCATCTCCTTTCCCCTCTCACCCCCTCCGTTGACCTTCTTAAATACATAAGGACATTATTTCCCCTATCTATGGGATTACCAGGTCTTTCTGCATCGTTGCCTTCCCCCTCCCTTCTCAAACATTTCCCAGGGGGTCCCATGATGTTAGGAATGCAGGATCCTTACCCAGCTCCACACATGCCAGGCCAAGCAGCAGCCCCACCAGAAGCGACTTCATGCTGAGAGCAGATCCGTGCAACCTGGACAGTAAAGGCGAGCGGCTCCCGGGGAGCTTTATATGTCTTTCCACCCTCCACCTCCTCTTGATCCGGTGGGCGGATTCCCCTGGGGTAAGCAGGGGAGAGCTCATCTCCAGCCTGGATTGGGATTTGTAGAGGAACGAGTTCCCAGAGAGGTGACATCACCGCAATGAGCAGACTCCTGCCGTACTGCATCTCCTCTTCGGGTTTATGACCCGGGGCTGGTCCCATGGAAAAGGAAAAATACAGCTTGTGCTGCAGGGGGTGGCCCCACGCTGGTGTTTGGACGGGGAATGTGACAAGGTATGTTTGTTGCTTCAAATCTGGCTCTGTGAGCCAAGAGCCGGATTGTGTCATGAATGTTGAGTTGGGCAACATCAGGCAAGGTGCAAGTGGCAGCAGGCTGGGCTTCCACACGTGTTAGCTCAACATCACCAAAACCTGTGCCATGTTTTCATGCCAACTACTGCCTGGCATGGCAGGCAGGAATGTGGCGTGGATGGATTTTCCCAAAGAATACCTGTTTTCCCAAATTCAGTGCAAAAACAAACCCAGTTTCTTGCTCCCAGGGGTTTATTTATGAACACAGCCACAGTGCTGAGCTGTAGGGCATGGGAGGCACTGAAAGACCAGTGGAGGTGAACACAGCTGATGGAGACTCCAAGGATGGCATTTGGACATATCATTTTATTTCAGGTCCTGGGTTATGCTGGCAGAACAGGGAGCTGAGCCTTCTTTTGCAAAAATGTCAGTTATTTACTGGATTTTATTCTGAAAATGAGAAATAAACCCAGCATAGAGAAATGGATCTGTTTTCCTGCTTCAGTGCCTTCCTGATTCCTGATGGAAAGTTTTCCTTTAATGTGCATCAAGGCACCCCCTTCAAACTTGCTTTTTTTTTTTTTTTTTTTTTTTTTTTTTTCCAAGTCTTATGCAATATCTGTGGAAAAAGCTTAAAAGTTTGTAGTTAGGGAGAAATGTTTTGCTGTTCTCTTTTGACTGATCCAATGACATTTTTGTATTCTGTTGGAAAACCTGACTTTTGGGGGTTTTGATGTGATCCAGGATACAATTTCCCATAAAACAGCTGAATAAGCCACAACATAAAAGTTTGTGAAGCACTGTGAAGATCTCCGAGACTTCAGGGACTGGGGACAAGGTGAGTGCACAGGATAATTTTATGATCATGGGGCTTGTTGGTCACAGGACCACTGTGGTGATGCACATGGGTATTGCCACCCTTCCATATCTCTTTTCCCAGTTTGACAGTGGAGTATTTTGGGGAAAATACAGCTCCTCCAAGAGTTCAGAGTAACTCAAGCAGCATTGCTAACGAAAATTTCCACAGTCACAGGATAGCACAAAGTGGATCGATCTGGGATAGCAGGATTCGTACTGTGCCGTGTAGAAAGGGAGGGGAAGACATGCACCTTAATGCTCGCTTAGCTGCAGTGAGAGTGAAAACCATTGTTTATATTCGTTTTTATCTTGCTGTGCCATCAGAGAACAGGTACATAAAGGAAAACAGTGCAAACATACCTCCATGAGTATGAGAAAAGACTATGCTGTGAAAGCCCTCAGATCTGGTTACATCCAGATCCTTTCCTGTAACTGGGCAGTTCAAAGCACATTTGAGCAGCATTTTCAAACACCCAGCAAACTGGAAAAGATCCAGTACTTTAGGTATTCAGGGTGGTTATTCCTCAATAGGTAATCACAGCGGGGTGGACTGTCTGGTGTTCATACCACTGAAAGGCTTCTTGACGGACTGTGTGTGCCTTGGTGGGATGGAGAGGTCCCCATCGGGACATGGTAATGGTCTGCTTGTGCTTGAAAGATATTGAGAAAGCTTTGGAATAAATCGGCCTGGTTGAAGGAATGGTGCATAAATTGGAGACTAAATGAGTCTTGCCAGCTTGGTGGAGGTTGTCCATCACTGCGGTGTCTGGACATGGGATGCATCAACACGGTGGGATTGTCCTGCCTCTGGCCAGTGTAAAACCAATTAACTTTGTCTAATGGCTTGAAAGGGTTTGAGATCCGGCCATAAGGCAGAGCATTGGAAAAATATCACAGTCGGGGCTGTTAAAGCTCCTGCAGACTGTGCAGGAGAGCCAAACTTCAGGGATAGAAAAGCTGGGAGAATGCCAGTAAAAATATTGAGGACATGGAAGACCTGCAAATATTAGTTGATCTAAAGATAACTAGGAGCCTCCTGTGAAGCTTTTCCCCTGGGGAAAAAAAAATAAATACCAAAACTAAACAAAAATCCATATCATAGGTGATCACAAGTCATGCATTAGACTGTGAGGGAAGCTGATTCAGGTAATGCTAACATCTGCATATGAAGCCCTGGTTGCTTCTCACATGGAAAATTATTGTCCTGTTTCCTGATGGAAAAAAAAAAAATAAAAAAAAAGGAAATGGGAAATAATGATGAAGCTGGAACAACAGGATCCATCCCAAGAGATGACGTTGGAAAATACCGGTCCTCTTCAGCCTGGCAGAGCAGAGTTTGGAAAGAAACACAACTGTTACCCAGAAATAGATTGCAAGAAAAGAAAGCAGAATTTCAGAAAGAAAAAAAAAATATCTTTATGCTAAAAGATCAAACTGGTCTAGAGATATATGCTGGGAGCCCCCCAGCTGGAAAGCAGCTCTGCAGTCACCAAATTGAAGATAAGGCAGGTATGTGCCCTTGCTGCTAAGAAGGCAAGTGGTATCCTGGGTTGCATTAGGGGAAGCACTGTTCAAGGGAAGCTATTCAGCACTGGTGAGGCCAATCCTGGAGTACTGGGTCCAGTTCTGGGCTCCCCAGTACAAAAGAGACCTGGACATAGTGAGGAGAGTCCAATGGAGGGTCATGAAGATGCTGAACAGTCTGGAGCACCTCTGCTGTCAGGAAGGAAAGAGAGCTGTGACTGTTCAGCCTGGAGAAGAGGATGCTCAAGGGGATCTCATCCATGTCCATAAATACCTGCAAGAGGACTGAGCCGGGCTCTTGTCAGTGCCAGGGACAGAGGCACTGGGCAAAAAATGGGAGATTCAGTCTAAATATCAGGAAGCACTTCCATGCCATGTGGGTGACTGGGCACTGGCACAGTTTGCCCATAAAGGTTGTGGAGACTTGTTCTTTGAGATCTTCATAAGCCACTTGGACATGGACCTGGGCACGCTGCTTTCTGAGCAGGGGGTTGGACCAGTTGACCTCTAGAGGTCCCTTCCAACCTCACTCTGTGATTCTGTGGTTCTGTGAAAGGGGGCTGGTAATCAGAAATAGGTTTAAATAGGTCTCAAATGACTCAAAAAGTGGGTCCCTTCTAAAAACAAAGACAGGGTAAAAATCCCACTGGCTTTAAGTTAGAACTTGATAAATAAGTGAAAGAAATGGTTTGATATAGCAGTTAGGAGAGCCTCAGACAGCTCTTAGGACTCAGGAGGACCTCAATTCCCATCTATCTTTTTCAGTGGGAATAAACCCTGGGCAAGGTTTTGAACTCCGGCTGACAGGAGCCATAAGGGACTTCAACTGAAATGTCATTTCGGGTCTGAATATCTGAGGATATAAATGGGGCATAGTGTGTAGTGAGAAATGTCTGCATTCCCAAAAGTCTCTCTGATTTTTCAGTGTTATCAATCCGAAACCACTGCAAGCCTGTACCTGACAGTCTGAGATCACTCATAAGGTTATCTGGGTGGATGTGATCTTTCTCTCCTTATCACATATGCAAAGAAAGTCAGATGACATAAGGTCATTGTTACAAAACAAGAAGATGATGTGCTTTATAACTATCTGTACTAATATTTCCAGTTAATTCTTGTTTGAACAAATAATCAAATAAATAAATAAATAAATAGATTTTGTAGAGATGATAACTTTGATTAGCTGATCTAGTCATCAGTTATCATCCATATGTAAAATAAACCCTGCATTTCTACTCTGATTTCCAGTTTCCACAGCTAGTAGTTCTTGTTGCACTTCTGCTAGATTTAATAACTCACGGTTGCAATTTCCCTCTCCCTCAGGGAGGCTGCATTTTGCTGAGGATGTCCCTTGGATGGCCTTTGGTGGGCTCTTCGACTTCTTCCCAGGAAGGTTTCTTCTCCATGGTTTTAATATTTCCAGGGGTCCTTCTCTGAACCACATCTGGTTTATCACCTTCTCACCTGCCTTGCCCAGCACAACTAACTAGATATTTTACAAGAACAGCCACTTCAGTCCCACATATAAGAAGCATATAAGATCCTTATTCTGTGAGGTGAACTTCAAATAATTACGTTTGAACATGTGGTCATGGTGTTATAGCCATGTCATTGGTCTACCTCACGTTAAAGTTTCATTTGGGGGCTGCTTGTCAGGATGGAATCTGCCACCAGGTTTCCAGATATCATGGTTATGGTTGGAGTGTAGGAAAATAGGTTACTGAGCAGTATATTGAGCCAGCTTGAGTTTGGCTCCTGGTATTCAGGGAGCACAAATTTTTGTTGGGGACCTCTTTTATCTGTGGGCTCTAGCACCACTGTCTGTGACTAAACAGTAGGGACACATGCTGTCCCTGATCATGGCTGCAGTGATGCCTGATGATGTGTTCAGCTAATCAAAGCTCCCACCTGCCAAGGGTGTGCACTAATAACAAGACTATAGGCTTGTTCGGGTGGGGTTGCTCTCCACCCTCTTGATGAAACTGTGCTACTGGGCAGAAAGGAATGCAGGTTTCCTTGGTTTGGAGAAGGGTGAAAGTGTGAGCATGACACAGTTAGCACCCTTCTCCTCAGAGCTCTTTAGGTCTTGCTTCCAGGAGTTTTTTGATACAAAACACAGGTGTCTCCACATAGGGGAGTATCAAAGAAAAATCCTGAGTCCCATTGCTGACTCAGTTAATCTCTGAAGGGCTTTTACCCCTCTTTTCCCCTGTGTGTGCTTTGTTTTAGTGATTCGAACAATTTGTCTGGAGATGTCAGACAGGAAATTGAACCTTTCCAACAGACAAAGAAGGAAATTATACTCACATTTCCCAAATTTTTTCTTAAGCACACTTATCTTTAGGCTTAAAATTAGGTGCAGATGGGAGGAAATCCTCCACCTTACTGTGTTTTTGGAAAATGAAATGAGCTCTGTTTAGTGATCTGAGGGAAAAGAGGAGTCCAGGGCCGTGAACTCTATGCCTACAGGTGCCTCTGCTCCTAGTTGCAAGGATGAGGACAATTCCTTCAGGCATTGCCTTGCCACTAGTATTTCATCAGCCCTGGGAACAGAAGTTTCCCAGGCACTTGCAGAGGGCATGCAAAGTGCCCAAAGTGTGGTTCTGGATTGCAGACTGTAGATATCCATCCCTCTGGAAAGTGAGGCATTGTGGGGTTCCTTTAACCTCTAACATTTCTACCATGGAC